ATTTTTGTTGACCTTTGTCCATGGAAGGTCCCTGCAAAATTTCATTGAAATTGGTTCAGGGGTTTTGGAGAAGAAGTCGAAAATGTAAATTGTTTACGGACGCACTACGGACGACGGACGACGGACGACGACGGACAAAAGGCGATCGCAATAGGTCACTTGAGACTTTGTCTTTAGGTGACCTAAAAATGTCAAAATGACGGGCCAGGATGAATAACTGAGGAAGGAGAACCTACTTCTAGTAAATAGGATCGCGTAACATTTTTTTTTAAATCATAATTTTTCAACAGTTTATGTGTTCATATGTTGTTGCTCTAGAATGTATGATCATGTAACAACCTTTTCTCTATAAAGAATTAATTTTTGACTTCAGATAGAATCGGAATACGTATTGAAAATGGGAAGAAACATTTGTTTACGTTGTAAAAATGACACGTGCTGCCGATAACTACGGCTTCTGTTTCGGACACAAATAAATTTAAATTCTGAATATTGGCAAGTGTGCAATTAACTTCTGATGAATAACTACTGTTCAATAAGTTTTAATACGGACTTAGAAATCATATTACTTGGTTTCATAGTGCGATAAGAAGTTGCAGTTGTCTGACGCCCCTCTCTGGGGGCCCCTCCTGAAACCGTTTCCTGCCTAGTCAGGTGATGTTATCGGTGCTATTTTTAGCTGGGCTTTCCCGAACAATTCAAGTGGTCAAACTGGACATTTGGAACGGACTATGAATATGGGGATAGCAGAGGTAACATAAGTGGAAGTGCATACAATACATACATTCATTAAAAAAGATATGGCTCTTCACGTGATTTCCTTTTAAATCGGTACACCGATGCACCAACAGGATGGTACTTCCCGTAAATGTGGAAAGGACGGTACACCTGATGCACCAATCCTAGACATGCCAGTACTTCCGGTACATCGAAAAGGACAGTATTTTCGGAACTCTTCCAGTATTTTCGGAACTCTTCCAGTATTTTGTTACAATTGATAAATATCCAACAGACCGGTTAACTCCTGTACAAATCTTATAGAGCAGTGTACATCGTACATGGCCAGCACTATAACCCACACGCCACACATAAAGAGCGTTCAGATGCATGATGAAATACAACTCCACAGCATGACGTCCACTGTTTTCTTGTAACTTTGACTACATCCGTGCCATGCCTATTTATAGCTAAAATTGAATCAGCAATACTCAGATTTTGAAGCGTGGGATTCGGCTCTCGAAAGTCACCACCGGAAGTCACTTACTACTTTCCCCCCGTCATAACCAAAGATAAAACTTTCACGATTGGTGGACGTATATTCCCCCAAACGTGTCTTACACCCTTTTATATCCTTTATAATGATCATCAGCACAGGGATACAAAGCTATAAATGTGATGATGGTAGGGATATTATAATCTATATTTATTACATATAGCCGATCTCCGTGCTAACACAATATCCATTGTGAAGTTTCAAAGTCTACTTCCCTCCTTAGTGCCAGTAATGCATGTAAGGATTCCTAACATACCAGACAATTTGAATACACTTGTTCGACTTTTCCTTCAATGACTACGCTCCTATTATTATTCTCTTTATTTCCTCCTTTAAGAAGATTTTACAAACAGAATAATGTAATTATAATGATATATAAGATAATAGATACAAAATCAAATAGATGGTAAGGCAAAAATTATTGCACAACATAATAAGTTAACATAATAGAAATAAGTTAATCAATTTGAGTACAGTTTACAAAAGAATACATAATTAATAATGTTAAGAATGATATACCCAAAAGTATTGAATAATCATTCGAAGTATACATTAAGCATTTTTGAAATATGATTGACTGATGCCATACGAAATTCTGTTAACTCTAATGTATTCAGTTCATACGTTATATTGCCACCAATCAGTAGGTGAAATAATTCATAGTCTGAATGAGAGTGTAAATATACACTAAACATAAGTTCACATGTATTAATGACTTGACACCATAACTGATCTCGTAAGTCTTCAGTACAATCACATTGTAAAACTATGTGGGTATATATATCGTTATACATTTGTCCACATTTATGACATAATTCAGTTTTTTCTGAATGTCTTAGAGATACAATCAATTTCATTATACTATGTATGGCTTCTCTGTTTTGAGGAAATTTTATTAACAATTTCCACAATATATGAGGAGCCAAATTATCATGAACAAATATAAATCTGCAGAAATCGCGGTCACCACTCATTCTCTCCTTCCATCCTTTTTCTTCATATAACTGTACATTATGCTTTACTTTCGCTTTCCATATACTTTTCACTGGAAATATTCCATTTGATAAACATTCTTGTACTAATTTGTATAAATCATATTTCTTTAGTACCCTAATTACTTCATTCATAAATCCATTATTATACACATTGGTCCCTATAACTGCCATACAAAGACGAGTAAAAAACACAAGATAAGATATACAGTTTTTCTCCAAGTTGCATAATCTTCCAAACAATAATAATTTCTTGGTATCTATGTATGCTTCTAAACTTAACCAACCCAGAAGGCCTGTGCACATATCTGTACGGGTTCTTGTATGGAACCCCTGAATTGACTTTAAAATGAAACGTTGTGCTCTTTCTAACATTAAAATTTCGGTTTTTTGAAGACACCATAATTCACACCCATATAGGGCTGAAGCATATACTTTTGATTTCAGTATTTTACTAATCGTTAAAGGATTTAATGCACATGGATGAGCACCACTTTTAATTAAACTCATGACACCACTCTTAAGCTTATTACATGCGCGTACTGTACGTTCCATACTATTAAAATTATAGTTCAACATCACGCCAACATGTGTTATATCCTCAACTTCTGGAAGAAGATGCCCATATAGATATAATTTCGTACTAAGATTTCGCTTCTTTTTTCTAGAGAAATACACTATTTTACTTTTAACTGCAGAAAATGTGAAACGCCACTTTCTGCTATACGCTTCGCACATCTCGAGCATGTATTGTAAGCTTTTACGCTGTGTACTAACCAGACATATATCATCTGCTTGTGTTGGTATATTAATTCTTAAATCGGCAATAAGTGCACCCTTCCCACATTTTTCAATACTGTCTAATAAACTGTTTATGAATACAAGATACATTTTGGCAGACAACGCACTCCCCTGTAAAATCCCCCTCTCCATACGGATCCATCTTGAACTTAAACCATTAAATATAACACTACTTCTTATATCTGTGTATATTGATTTCAAAATATGCCATGTCTTTGAAGTGATACCGATCTCATTTAGCTTATACAACAAACCATCATGCCATACGGTGTCAAATGCCTTGTTACTATCTAAAAAGGCCACATAAACATCTTCTTCTCTTTCTAAATTATAATGTATACATTCTTGCAGATTAAATGCAGTTAACAAACTGCATAGTCCTTTTTGATATGCTGACTGTTGCTTATTCGGAAAGTTGTTACAATTAAGAACTGAATCTAATCTTTTAGCTAAAATCATTTCAAAAACTTTAAAAATGCAGCAACAATGGCTGAGTGTCAGTGCTGTAATAACATCTACCAGCTAGGTCAGTTTAGGGAGGAAAACAAAATAAACGCACTGAGTGACGCTAATCTGGCGTCCGTACCACATGGTGTTAACACATAATAAGATCGTGTGTAAAAGGAGGGCTAGCTAACGTTAGGGGCTAGGGGTGGTAAACCGGAGAAAGAGGTTAAAGGGTCAAGCAGGAAGTGCCGCAGGTAAAGGGGCTAAAAGTTAGGGCGATAGTCATGTGTGTGTGTTTGTGTGATATGGAAAGAGTTTGGGGGAGGGTTTAAAGGAGTTAGGGGTAAAGTTGTATCAAATTAAAAAATAAAGACCACTTACCCATTGGGTGTCCGGTTTCCTTGGTAAGGAGTTGACTTCTTCGAAATTATTACAGTTGGCCATGGGTCTATGATTACTAGCACTGGAATCAGCCTGACAATGTAGGACAATAGTCAGTAACGTTTTCTACAAATTCAGATTACTATTTGATACAAAAAGTGTAATATAACATTATGAAATATCTTGTACATAAATACTCGTGTACTGATGTTTTAATACACAAAATATAGACGATATAATAGCCAAACTGGCGTATTCCCTTTATTTTTTAACTTATTCAAGGTGCAATGATTCCGAGGCCCGGGCGCCTTTCGAGTTAATCATTGTTAACGTTACCGATTATTACGTTAATAAGTGTAACTACTACCCTCCATCTACGTTATCTGCTATATCTTGTTATTAAGGTTACAAGTTCAAGTATTCGCCTCCTTTTGTGTTAATCGTTGAATTGCTACACAGTCCTCAAGGTGTGGAAAAAGATACCTTAATTTATTCTCACGGTTGAGTGATTTTCTCATTTAAGGAAAAAGTTGTAGAGGTAATCGGTAACGATCATGTCCTGAATGCTAATATCGATTTTGTTTATATCCTGGCGAATGCAAGATAGCTATAAATAGCCTTATGTCCAGCTGGTGCAGGTGATAGGTAGTCAACTGTGACGTCATACATGCTTTAATGCTAATTGATGTATTTTAGAGACGTTAGCGAAAGCTAAGTGCGCCATATGGTATCTGGGCGGGGTCACACATTTACCGCATACATCAACATAGGATACTAGCTTTTCTTTTATATTACAAGGACATTCTCAAAATATCATCATACCTACACAATGTCCCTTACATTTTACACATATTCTTAAAATAATATCCCTTTATCTCGAACTCAATTTTATTTATTATTTCACGCAATACCCCCACTTTACACAGAAATTCACATTGACATCCTTTTCGTTTTTGTAAATTTTATTATTTCACACCTTGGTGCTATTATAATTATAAATATCTCCTCTTTTCCCGAAAACGATTTCCCTTATTTTAGCTTTTTACAAGTCTAATCATGTAAATAAATATACTAAAAACAACAAGTTCACATATCTAAAAAATATTTTCTCTCCTTTATATTCATCTTTCAAACAAACTTTAAGCTATCAAACTTCGAAAAAGATACAGTGGCGAGTGGTTAGCATATCAATATCGAAGATTTGAAATTATTACCGTATTATAGTAATACTGGAAACACAAGCGTTTTCATCTTAAGGTGTGACACACGAGCAGGCTAGAAATGACATTTATTTGTATTTATATATAATATTATACCCTTCCCTAAATTCTTTATCGATACCAGATCCGCCCCTTCGTCATACCAGGTAAAGACGGAAACACTGTTTCCGATTTACTTTCCTAAAACCTTAGTTTTGATTGAATATTTGGCTCACTCTAAACAAGTAATCCTAGTAAATATAAATGGTGCAGAAAGCTTTTCTCATCTACATATCATTATATATTTTGACAGTTCTGCTGAAAACGGAAGTAGAAATAATGTTGCGGCCTGACCAGAATACTGTTCCCTCCGATATTTTTGATAGCTCCGAACGGAATCCTACATTGAATGACAGTCAATAAAATGCTGTTACTGCGCATTTTGACGAGTAGGTAGGTCTATATGGATAAAATCTCGTTATACGGACACCATTTAGTCCACGTAACTTTGGCAGTATAAGAAAGTTTGACAATATAATGAAAAGCACAACGAACAACAGAACGATAGTTCAGGTCAAAAGTGATGGTAATATTGTTATATTTTACTTTTATCAAAACTGAAGAAAAAAAAGAAGCTTTATGGGATTGTTTTTTTCAGCAGACAATATTGGTTGACATTCTGAATATCCTAAATCATTAAACATTGATAATGAATTTATCATCAAATAAAGCCACTACAACACAAACGCACAAATAACAAAACCGTCATGTTTGATAGTGCATCGTGTGGTTTTAACCTTGGAGTTTTCTGCTGTCACGTCATACGAATATTTATAAATTACACACACGCACATGTACAACTGCAAAACATGTAGTTTTTATTTCTCGGTGTCAACGGCCCATTTAACAGTAATATGATCACATGTATCTGGTGTGTATGAAGGGCGCTGCACTGTTACTCCACTTACCACCGGCCCCTAACGGTACAACGTTCAGTACCCTCCCAAAAACATGGCCGACGTAGTTTTGTTTACAAAAGAGCATCGTTCCGGTTACATTTTACACCGTTTTACTGGGATAAAAGCTACTATCACTAACAATATGTTTTTCTTAAATAATACTTCAAACATTATTTACAAACTATTTACTAACCTTCATTCCATAAACCTATATATTACTAACCCTGTTTACATATAATTACTAACCTTACTGAAGTTTTTTCTAACATTACTTACATATAACTAACCTTACTTACAGTTTACTAACCTTAGTTACATATAACTAACCTTACTTACATTTTACTAACTTTACTTGCATTTTACTAACCTTACATGTACTTAAGTTTTTACTCACCTTACCTACACTTTACTTACATTACTTACACTTTACTAACCTTACTTACACTTTACTAACCTCACTTAAGTTTGTATTAATCTTACTTAAGTTTTTACTAGCCTTATTTACATTTTACTAACCTTACTTACACTTTACTAACCTTACTTACACTGTATTAACCTAACTTACACTTTACTAACCTTACTTACACTGTACTAACCTTAATTACACTTTACTAACCTGACTTACACTTTACTAACTTTACTTACATTTTACTTACCTTACATACCTATTACTAAACTTCTTTACATTTTACTAACCTTACTTACACTGTACTAGCCTTACTTACATTTTACTAACCTTACTTACACTGTACTAACCTTACTTACACTTTACTTACCTGACTTACACTTTACTAACTTTACTTACATTTTACTTACCTTACATACCTTTTACTAAACTTCTTTACATTTTACTAACCTTACTTACACTGTACTAGCCTTACTTAAATTTTACTAACCTTACTTACACTGTACTAACCTTACTTACACTTTACTTACCTGACTTACACTTTATTAACTTTACTTACATTTTACTTACCTTACATACCTATTACTAAACTTCTTTACATTTTACTTACCTTATTTACATTTTACTAACTTTACTTACATTTTACTAACCTTACATACATTTCACTAACCTTAAATATCATAAGCTTTATTTCTATATACACTAACCTTACATACATTTTAACTAACCTTACATATTACTTACCTTATTTCTGTATACACTAACCTTGCTTACTTATTACTAACACAGTTTACGTATTTTAACCTGACTTACATTTTAACTAACCTTACATATTACTTAACGTATTTCTATATACACTAACCTTACTTAGATCTTACATGTACTCACAGTTTATCCTGCATGTATGTAAATAGTACTTAAGTTACTTACATTTTACTTACAAAACGAAATTAAATATTGATTTAGGATATTTAACTACTAATGTAATTTTAAAAATGTAGATTCTGACATCCTGTCTAATTAAACTAATTGGATGGATCATACTGGGTTTCGTAAGAAACAGGTTTCTGTTTACGACATAAATGATATTTCTTTCCCATTTTATAAAATAGTTTTCCTTCAATGAAGACTGATTATATTACCATTCAAACAAAACAAAATTATATAAGTAGCGAAGTCGACTGTTATCGTCAAGGGCATGCCCAATATATAGGGTTAGAAACGCTGGGAAAACAACATCAACACACAAAGTATTCGTTAAATACATACATGTAAGGTCATAAAGCACTTGACTAAAATGTAAATAAGACATTGGAAACATATGTGAAATTCTAAACGTCCATTGGAGAGTTTTCTGATATGGATAAAAAAAGCTGATACATTTTTGTATCTGGCACATTGTTAACGAAAATTAATTAATTCATATACTCACCTCAATGATTTCTGGCATCTTTGTAGGTTCCATAGTAATTGTCTGGTAGAACAGATGGTGTCCTCACAGGAACGTTGTCGGATACATGTCTGACTTATCCGGTATGGGACATCTATAAAATCCGGGGTAAACTATTACGACACATCGTATGTCGTCATACTAACCAGAAATTTCACAATAAATCAACACACAATACACGCGCTAACCACTTGACCGCCACAAGTAAATCCCAGAGTATATATTTGTATTATCTGTGAGGGAAAGCCTCTGACCACTCACGGCCTTCCTACGTATATAACGGGATCAGCTCACTCTTACTACTTTATCATCGGATATCCAACCACTGCAGCCAACACGAGACGTGACCTTCTTAATTTTAATCTCTTGCCTTCGTCGAGCAATCTGCCTGTGGAGCTGAAACCCTGGGAGCTGACGTATCAGATGACAACTCCATGTGGACATGTGTTAGATGGGAGCCCCACTCAGGCACTTGTAGACTTCATTCACAACAAACGACGAGAATATTTAGAAATCTCTGCACATGCTCACGTGAATTTTAAGTTCAGATTTTTAGTGCCGTTTCACAGGACATTACAAACCCTTCGTATACATGGGACCTTTTGTAGTGTAGTGTCACACAAGGCCAAAAATTCCCCAGCAACAATTTTTAAATCCCAACAACAAAGAAATCGAATATTCCGTTATTTAGGGGAGTGTTATTAAAGGCCGTTGACTTGCCGCGTATCCCGGGTGCCCTTTGTTGGGACGCGTAACGCTTCCTTTCACAGCCCCTATTCGCTACACCATCCGTTGTTTGTCCAATGCCATCGCTGTAAGTTATTGAACATCCGTTGTATTATCAAATATTTTTACTAAATATAATCACAAAACATTTTTTTAAACGGAGAAAAGTTCGTACTTCCGGTCCAACCGTTGTCGTTTATATAGTATACCGTTAAGTGTATTCGACGTAGGAAATCGCTGCTCTTCAGCTGCTGAAATATAATTCGATAAAGTCATTATTGTACCAAGCGTCATCAAAATTGCCTCATATTATGCGTAAATTACAGAAAGCCTTAGACTGCCGCCAGCCTTTACGACCAGGAACGCGGTTGTAAAGGCATGGTTAGTTTTCTGAACATTAAAACACATATTTTCAACAGGAATATTTGCCAAAAGATCAAAGTTCTCTGACAAAATTTCTTATTTTCTATTTCAAAGTATGATACGGAAAGAAAAGAAATATGCATATTTGGAATTTATGATATTTTTTAGAGATTTTTCCTAATTTAATTTTTAAACAAAGCTCAAAAAGCTAATAAAGCTTTTTCTAAATAAATATCTGAAAAGAAAATTACCTTTCGTGGATATTCGCCACAATTTAGTGGAAATGGAAATTCACGGAAACCTACCTTACTGTACCAGAGAGGGAATTAAAATGGGACAAAACTGGCAGTAATGTTGACATTTCTCGTACAGAAAATATTCGTTATAGAACTTTTAGATTTTATTTTTAACAAGAGGATAATAACCTGTGGGGTATGCGGAGGTTATTATATAAGGTATGGTATATAATTAGAGGGAAACGTGTTTAGTCACCTACACATCTACACGTGGATAACTATTACGTAATAATTATCTTACAGAAGTGCGAGTGTTAGATGTCACGAATGATTTATGTTATATTTTATAAAACAATAAACGAAATAGACTACAATAACACTCCTTCCTTCGTGTAAAGAAAGAAAATGGAAAAAAATGTTGTGTAAATAAAGGTGATATGTCGGGAGGGTGACAGTAAATATGACATTCCTTTGAGGATGACAGTGTATGGTGTCAAAGCACGGCGCAATGCTACAAGTATAATATTTATGGTTACTTCGTCTTTTAGCAAAATATTATTTTTCGCGTTCTTTTGCGGGTCCAGTCCAAATACGAACTCAATTATCGTAAAATTCGCGATGGCAGATAACCGCAATTTCATATAAAAATATGGAACGAATATCCTCGTGGGGGAGATAATTTTTGGAAAGAGGAAGTTATAATAAATATATTTTTTCGTACTTCTTTACACAAGGTAATAGACAGGCAACTCCAAGTCGGAAAAAAAACTACCACTATCTGAAACACTGTCGACTTTTTTTTTAATTCCTTACAAGAATTTAAATTAATGAAAGAAGTCGTTTCAAACACAATGTTTCGGCCCCAAACCAATCTGGCTAGGTATTTACTTGTAATAATGAGACCATGGTTGACTGTGTATATAAAGCTGACGAAGCGAATAGTATTTATAACCTATTAAGATAATATTCCATTATATTTTTATCAGCTTTAGAATTTGACAAAAATTGACACAAACCACCCAATTCCTGCCACCACTTTCTGTCATAACCTATCAATTAACACATATACATGATTATATACTTATGTACTGCTGACTGGTTTTCATTATTCAGATAAATTCTTGTTCAAAGTACTTTTATACCCCGTTATTAAGGTTTGGTAAGAGAACTGTCCCAGTCTGTGTACGTCCCCTCGTCTCTGTCTAACGGCGAGATCTCGTAGTGAATTCTACAGTACAATCAGATCTGTGTTAGTAAGATGGTCTAAAACCACCAGACCAAACCAGCCTGTGCCATCAGACCAAACCAGCCTACAGTACAATCAAATCTGTGTTAGTAAGATGGTCACCACCAGACCAAACCAGTCTAAAACCACCAGAGCAAACCAGCCTACAGTACAATCAGATCTGTGTTAGTAAGATGGTCTAAAACCACCAGACCAAACCAGCCTGCGCCATCAGACTAAACCAGCCTACGGTACAATCAGATCTGTGTTAGTAAGATGGTCTAAAACCAACAGACCAAACCAGTCTGCGCCATCAGACTAAACCAGCCTACAGTACAATCAGATCTGTGTTAGTAAGATGGTCTAACACCACCAGACCAAACCAGTCTGCGCCATCAGACTAAACCAACCTATATTACCAACGTACCCTGTGGTAGATTATCCTCGGCTAAACAGATTATTTTATCCTCATGAAATAAAGTTTTATTATTATTATTAACAACGCCACCTAAACAAACCACCACCTCAAAACCAAACCAAACTAAACCACCAGCGCCATCACCAAACCAAACCAAAGCAAACCACCGCTGCCACCAACACAAAAACCAATCCAAACAAAATCACCTGTGCCGCCACTACCACCACCACCACCAAATTAAACAAAACCCATCCACCAATACATGTACCTAAACGAAACCATACCATAAACCATCAGCGCAACTTTAACCTAACTAAGTTATTAACAGGCAAGACCAAAACACCAACGGCACCAAAAAACAAACAAACCTACTGCCAAACCAAACACCAACAGTAAACCACCGCTTCCACCAAACCATACCAATCAGCATGACAACCACCAAACCAACCCATCACCACAACCCCCACAACCAAACCCAACACCAACAGCAAATCACCGCTTCCACCAAACCATACCAATCAGCATGACAACCACCAAACCAAATCTTCACCACAACCCCCACAACCAAATCCAACACAAACGGCAAACCACCGCTTCCACCAAACCATACCAATCAGCATGACAACCTCCAAACCAACCCATCACCATTACCCCCACAACCAATCACAACACCAACAGCAAACCACCGATTCCACCAAACCGTACCAATCAGCATGACAACCACCAAACCAACCCGTCACCACAACCCCCACAACCCCCACAACCAAACCAAACACCAACAGCAAACCACCGCTTCCACCAAACCATACCAATCAGCATGACAACCACCAAACAAAATCATCACCACAACCCCCACAACCAAACCCAACAGCAAACCACCGCTTCCACCAAACCATACTAATCAGCATGACAACCACCAAACCAACCCATCACTACAACCCCCACAACTAAATCAAACCACCGACCAACCCATCACCACAACCCCCACAACTAAACCCAACACCAACAGCAAACCACCGCTTCCACCAAACCATACCAATCAGCATGACAACCACCAAACCAACCCATCACCACAACCCCCACAACCAAACCCATCACCAACAGCAAACCACCGCTTCCACCAAACCGTACCAATCAGCATGACAACCACCAAACCAACCCATCACAACCCCCACAACCTACAGTTGTGGGATCGCACAACGTTACACGATGTGCGGTGTGCGCACGATGTGTGCACGGTGTGTGAACGGTGTGTGCACGATGGGCGAACGATAAAAAGCTGGACGATCATTGCTTGCGCACATATGTGCGCACGATGGACGGACGTTGTGCGATAACAATCGTGGTTGGTGTAAATTGAGAAATGCCTTAACAATTTATACGGTTTTATGTTTAAACATATAAACTTAATGTTTACGTATGTTTCTATATTCTAGCAACATCTATAAACTTATCTTTCTGTCTATACATTCTTATATTTAGAAATTGTGTTTTCTGTGTTTTTAAACAAACTTAATCGACACATGTAAAATTACAACACAATCCCGTATACAGGTAAACATAACCACTTTGTACATGTACCTGGACCGTAGTTTTCTCCCCGCCTGGGGCACTTACGTAACTCGTCGGGTAAGGCCGGGGGTGTGAAAATCCAGGTGAAGGGGAGCTATATATAGGTAAACGAATGCAAATAACAAATCCTTTTTATTACGGTCAAACGGTATCGCATATCAGCTCTGTGTGTCAGGCACTGGTCAGGTAAAACTCCGGACACTCATAAAATTGTTATTTACCTGTTCTGTTACCTTGGAGCCAAACCCATTCTTGACAGCCTAACGGTCGCTGTAATACTGTGTAACACGCATTGTGAAATTGTATAATCTTGATTATTGTGATGAGAAATTACAGATATATACACAGTGTACATTATCGTATACAAGCTTTCCGTATTTTTGTCATTCCGTAATTTTGATCTTCAAATGATACCAAATCGCACAGTTGTGCGGAGAGAATCGCACAACGGGGCGAACGATTGCTAAATCGCACAGTTGTGCGCACCATGTGTGGACGATGTGCGGACGGTGTGTGAACGATGTATGCACGGTGTGCGCACGCTATTTTTGGTGCGTTGTGCGGTCCCACAACTGTAACCAAACACCAACAGCAAACCACCGCTTCCACCAAACCATACCAATCAGCATGACAACCACCAAACAAAATCATCACCACAACCCCCACAACCAAACCCAACACCAACAGCAAACCACCGCTTCCACCAAACCATACTAATCAGCATGACAACCACCGACCAACCCATCACCACAACCCCCACAACTAAATCAAACCACCGACCAACCCATCACCACAACCCCCACAACCAAACCCAACACCAACAGCAAACCATCGCTTCCACCAAACCATACCAATCAGCATGACAACCACTACCACGTTTCTTGCAGAAATGTTGCACCTGATACAAACTCCGTTTCCGACTCTATTATTGCGATGGAAACAGTTGGCCGACTCGGTAAATTATACTTTGTACAGGTAATTATGTAGCATTGTTCAGGTAACACGAGACAGCTGTAATTAGTGTCCGTATTCACCTGACGCTGACGCTGCACAGGTGTGTCGCGTAGGTTATTATGTACTTCTGTTTGTACACATGATTCAGTGCCATCAGAAGATTGTACTTCAAATTCCATATAAGAATATGTTCAAAAGCTCGAAATAAACACAATTTAGAAATAGAGCGGATGAGCATGCTCGACTTTGATTTTATATATAATGTTGATATGTAACTAGTAGAGATCTCATCTATCTACCTGTTTACCTGTCTATGAACTTTACCAACAGACAGGGTATAGCATTTTCTTAGTCACCTATAGATACAGATATATGCCAACACCCGGGATATGAGAATCAAGGGACCTCCGTCTATTGATCTTGTTAGTTTTTGCAATACCTCAGGTGTCTGTGG